TTGTCCGAGAAGGCTAGGTGTAGATCTTTCCTACCTGAAGATCAGGGGTGTGGCTGAAAGACAGCAGTAAGAAGTCCCGCACTTTACCAGTACTTACTATAATGTGTCCCGTGTTGTGTACAAGTGTCCGTAAAGTCACGTGAATCATCCTCAAGATGAAAATGACAACGAACAGAAAGCGCAAAGCTGACAGGAAAGATGAAAAAAAAAAGATTCGAGTTGATAACCCGCTACAAACAAGGACAAATTTATCTGCAATAATCGGGTTTATCTTTCTCATTCCTAAAGTAATCCTCCCTGAACTGCTGTCGGCGATACATACGCCGTTCCAATATACCTTCCCTATTGTTCTCAGTACAATAAATTTGAAAACTACGCTGTTCCGATATACTGCCCTGTGGATGGCCACATTGAGGGTGCTATGGTAACACAGCATTATGATATGGTGTGTACAGTATTGTTCTATGGTATGGCATAGCGCTGTAGTATAGTACAATGGAATGGAAGTGTTGGTATTGCAATGTACTATGGCATAACATTATTAGTAATTACTGTGGCATGGTACCACGGTCTGGTATTGTGTTACGCCCCCCTCCAACCCCTACCCACCCAGTGCAGTGCTACTGACTGAAGTGTCTTTAGGCCATTCCCAAAAGGGGAGATATTAACATGTTCTTAAGCACAGTAGAATTGTAAATGGGCTGATTTATCAATGTTATGCTAATGCTGTGCTGGAACAACATAGGGGGAATTGCTGCTTTTTCTTTCCCCATCCTTACTATCGTCATTTTTTTTCTCTACCTCTTCTACTTGTTTGTCACTATCTTGTGATCTGCTATTTCCGGGGTGCCTTCATAGTCAAAGCAGACTTTGTGCTGTAGAGGCTAGAGAAGTGAGCAAAGTAAGCCTGATTTTCCGTATGGACTTCTCTGTTGTCTTCAACCCCTTGGCGCTCTATTGCCTTATGCACTTGTGGCGCCGTAAAATCTTACTTAAACAAACACTTTGTGCTGTGGTATGTCTCTCATTTTCTCTCTCTCTCTCTCTCTCTCTCTCTCTCTCTCTCTCTCTCTCTCTCTCTTTATTTCTCTACATATGCTCCTATCTCAACCCCCACCACCTTTCCCTAAACAGAACCTTAAGCATAACACAAAACAAATGAAAATCTCACACAAAATCATCCTTAAAGATGTCTCTTTCTCCAACCGTGTTTAGAAGCATAACCCGAGGTCTCCAGATTTGTTGAGGCTTCGGGTGAATAACTGTAACACCGCCGTATTCGCTTTCGTTCCAAGTTAGACGCTTTGGAGGAAAACAAACAAACAATTAAGAAAACAAACAACTGAATGCCAACACATTCATAAAAACTCACATCTATCTATCTATCTATCTATCTATCTATCTATCTATCTATCTATCTATCTATCTATCTATCTATCTATCTATCTATCTATCTATCTATCTATCTATCTATCTATACCCATTTGATTGAAAGAGTTAGATGAAAATTTTAATACTAATAAAAAAACAAGGACTAACATCGTGGATCCTCGATTTCTGCAAGTTTGCAACGAATCAACCAAAAACAAGACAATTGTATGACTTGTAAGGAATAGGTTTAATGTGGCCTGGCCAACTCTGAAGAGAAACTGAAGAGGTGGGAATCAAAATTGTAACGTCTATGACCCCAACCCCCTCCCACACACGCGCACATTTTAAAAACAAAGGAAAAAAACTGGAACAAAAGCATTAAGAACCCCCCCCAGCCTTCCTCCCCCATTTCTCTCTCCAACTCTCACCCCCCCCCCCTTTCCAAGAAGGAAAACAAAGGAAAAAGCATGAATAAAGAAAAAACAAACAAAACTAACAAAACATTTAAGTTAAATAATATTTTAGAATTCGCACAAGGCTTTCTATACTTCAACATTTAGAATATGAATTTCGACAAAATGTTTCCTGAACACATGCAACCAATCCCACAAATTAAGAAACTGCAATTATATAAATATATATCAAAGCAAATAAACAAGCATATGAACAATGTCTGGCAACATGTAAAGTTATTTTACTATACCTGATCAAACCAGCTCAGTCTGAGAAAACCGTTACAGGTGAATGTTGCAGTGACGTCATCAAGACCAACAATGTACATCAAAGTAAAGTAAACTTGCACCTTCAGTACACTAGCCTGGTCGTCAGTAGGTCTCACCTGAAACCGTAAAACACAATGCAAAAAAAGTGACCATGATGAACTATCAACAAAGAGAGAAGAGAGCATTCGCTAAAGAAGATCTGGCTCTGACATAAAAAAGCTTGCTGAAGAAAAAAAAGCTAAATGAACACAAGACGAGGAATCTAACGATTATAAATTCAGCTAAACGCATAATACATCAGACTATATATATATTTTTTTTTTATTTTTATAGAGAGCCCTTCTTATTCATAATACTTTTATGTTCACAGTGTGATGTGAAGATGGCATTTGAATGTGTTGTGACAGTACAGATACAATCTCTGCTTATTATTTGTTAGCGTTAATTAAAAGATCGTATGTTTGTATGTTATACACGACAAATATGTTGTGTCAAGATAACGGTATTGTAACGGGTCTAGAGGTGTATTGTCCCGGTTTGGAGCCTGTTGAAAAATACTATTTTTGATTATTAGTATTAGTATTTATTGTATTAATGACAAGGCAGAGTAATAATATTAACAGTGGTAGGTACTCACGTCTGGGTTATAAACACTTGGGCTAAGTTTGTCGTCGTAAAGTGCTTTGGTTTGTTCGTATGTCTGCGCTGAGGCAGATAGGAAGAAGAGATATAATATCGGTATACTTTTCTTCATAATGAACAAAAATTTGACTAAGGCACAGAAATACAAACTTCATCTAAAGAAAACATTCTTTTATAGATTTGACTCCACAGATTCCCTGCCTCTTCTAGTACGGACTATGACCCGTTTGAACCCAACCAGTTTCTGGAATGGCCTGAACAGGTTGACCGGATTCAATTCCTAGACGCTCTTTCGTTCTCTCTCTCTCTCTCTCTCTCTCTCTCTCTCTCTCTCTCTCTCTCTCTCTCTCTATATATATATATATATATATATATATATATATATATCTCTCTCTCTCTCTCTCTCTCTCTCTCTCTCTCTCTCTCTCCCCATGTGTCTCTCTCTCACTTTCCCACTCTGTCTCTTTCTGTAGCTCTCTACTCTCTCTACCCCTCCTCTCTCCTCTCCCATTTTGGAGGTATCCACCACGGAAACACAAGCGTCATTTAATATTATGTAACTTCTCGTTGAACTGTGGTTTCATGGAATCAGTTTCCTATAATGGCCTTAGAGCGCTTTGTTGACTTGCCTTTTTGTAAAGTATGTGGTCTTTGGCAGAAAGTATAATGAAACTTTGTACCGTTTCTAACTATTAGTGTACCGACACATTTGAGTAGCTCTGTGGGAGTCCACTCACCACATAGTTGTGTACATACCAAATGGAGGGGTGCTCAAAAACTTTTATTGCACTGCTTTTGTGTTTTGACTCCAGCATTAGGCAACATTAGGAGGTGGAGAGAGAGAGAGAGAGAGAGAGAGAGAGAGAGAGAGAGAGAGAGAGAGAGAGAGAGAGAGAGAGAGACTGGATGGGTGGGTGCGAGAGAGACATAGATTGATAGATAGATCGATAGATAGATCGATAGATAGATAGATCGATAGATAGATAGATAGATAGATAGATAGATAGATAGATAGATAGATAGATAGATAGATAGATAGATAGATAGGTAGATAGATAGATAGATAGAGAAACTAAAGATAGAGAAGGGGAAAGAGGTGTAGAGGGCGAAAGAAAGATAGAGAGAGAAAGAGAACGAGAGAGAGAGAGAGAGCGAGGGGTGGGAGAGAGAGTATGTGTGTGCATGTGTGTGTGTGTGTGTGTGTGTGTGTGTGTGTGTGTGTGTGTGTGTGTGTGTGTGTGTGTGTGCGAGAGAGAGAGAGAGAGAGAGAGAGAGAGAGAGAGAGAGAGAGAGAGAGAGAGGGGGGGGGGTTCAGCAAACATATCTTTACACCTTATTCGCTAAGTGTCAAATTAAAAAAAATTGATCTGATTATCTCGAGCTTTTAATACAGTGTGGGCATACTATGTGTCAGTAATGAGTACTGTACAACTCAGTTCTCGCAAACAGTGGAATAAGGAAATTCGACAGAAAAAAAGAGATGGGAAGACATCATAACTGAATGTGCAGGTTTAAAGTTGAATGAAGCCCTTCGATATACTGAAAGTAAGTAAGTAAGTAAGTAAGGAAGTAAGTAGGTAAGTAGGTAAGTAGGTAAGCAAGTAAGTAAGTACGTAAGTAAACAGTTTAAGAACTTGTAGTTTCTCTAGCTGTTTATAAAGTGCTTACAACGTCTGACAGGCCCAGGTTCTCTCAAGTGCTGCGCTTTGCTCCATTTTGGAGAAAGGTTGATTGATATTGTTACAAGAGGTAGTACCGATTTATACAGTAGTCGGTGTTTTTTTCTGTTCTTTTTTTGTTGTTCCCTGTCCATTTTTTAAAACCAAATTATCGACATACGATAAGAAGAAAAAGGTTCGCATGACAGTGTTAAGTATTACATACATAATTATTGTATCATGTTAGCCTAATTTGTGACGATTTGTTAAAACTGTAATCATGTTTTACTTTCCAAGTGAAATTTCCAACGTCCATCACTTTTCGTTAAGTGTTAAATTGCCATACATATTTAAAAACGCGCAATGAGAATGTTGATAACATTAGCAATTACAATCCAGGCTTTAGAGATCACCATGTACTGACATAGATGACGACAGAACTGTTATTAAATAGAGATTCAAGGAAGACAGACGTATGTCAAGGAGTTGAGAGCAAAGATGACTTTAAATATGATGGTGGCGGTGGCTGGTGTTATGAGATGGTGTTTATTATGCAATTAACTATTGAGCAGACATGCGTCCCTACACTGTCAGCTGGGTGTTTGGGATATTTATGCTAGTCATATCGTCCTCTGCTCCAATGAGTCACGAGGGACGTGGGCACCCTTTATCCTGTTCCTCACCGGAACAATCTTTAACATCACCGAAATGTTTCGAAAACGTGAGCACAGACTCGTCTTTGGTGGCTTTGTTAGCGTTAACCTATTCTGTTGGGCCAAGACAAGAGAAGGGGGGGGGGGGGGGGGGGGGGGGACGACCTAAGTTGATAGACAGTATAGAGGCATGTTGGTGTCTTCGTAAGTGGGTAGTAGGTAGCGGGCTGACAAACAGGTTAAACATTTTATGACACACGGTAGTCAGAGTCTAATCCCCAATCTTTTGCCCCCATTATTCCTTTCGAGGCCTATTAAACATGGAGTTGCGGATACAAATAATTAGACATAATTATAGTTATCCGTGTAGCAAATATATAAACTGTGTACTCCCATGTTAGAAAGAAGGGAGAGAGTAAAGAGACTATTTGAGTTTGGTCTCAAAAAGGTCCTTGAGATGCGCCAAAATCTAGAGACTACACTACTTAGTCGGAGACAAAACAACACAAACAAGTACTGACTAAATGAGGCTTCTTGAGTCATATGATATGAAAAATGAAAGAATAGTCCTTGACTAGCCCACTTCTTGCCTTAACCTCTCGACCAGTATTGATTTCCCCAAAGTGTCAAATTAATGTAGGTTGTAAATCGATTGAGGCAAGAATGGAAGCCTTTCCCTTTGTCTACTGTAGATAAATGATCCATTAAGAGCTTTTAAAACGGCCCTCTATTCCATGTTGAGAAGCCTGAATAGAGGCTGAAATAATTCTACTGCTTATAAGCTAAATAATTTAATGATAACCAATTTGCAAACATCTTGCTATACTGTGTTGTCCCTTCTATCTTCATTACTAGATATTAGAAAAACAACAAAGGACAATAGAATGCTTTTAGAGTAATAGATAGTTTATTCCACTCCAGTCATGATAGGAAAAAAAAGTGAATATTGCAAAAAGTGCAAGAATGTAAGTTATTTTTATTATATATTTTTTCAGCCTATTGCATATTTCAGTCTGGATATTCAGGACAGCTTCATTGTATTATACCTTACCTCACTTCTATATCGTATTTTGCATCAGGATGATTTTTTATTTGCGATTGAAGAACAAAACGCTGTAGTCATTTAAGTCAAACCATCAAGCATGCGTATGATTTTAATACGCACTGCCCATTGTGTTATACCCCACCCTGAAAAAAGCACAATGCATATCATTATTTCATGTTTTCGCATTGGTACCAGTTATATATTGCATCTTTTATCAGTTTTCCCATCTGTACTAGTGTTTGAGCGATCCAGTACAGTTTTTTTCCCCGTGAATCTTTCGAATGGTATAGCCCTGAAAAGTTTGAAGCAGCCTACTGGTTTTCTGTTAAGTTTCAAACGCATATTAAAATCGAGAGCAGAAAATTATAGAGTGTCTTGAACCAATCAGTATATTTTAATAGAATATAATAACATTTATCATATGTAGCAATGCAAAAAAAACCAACATGAAATGCATTGAGGTGGTAGTGTAATTATAATACTGTTATTGCAAGTGCATTGCGCTAGGGATAGTTTAGGGGGGTTGTGGCAGGGGTGGCTATGGTTACAGTGCACTTGAAAAATGAAGCATAAGCAAAATCCCTGTAAATATACCACATATACAAGATGCATAAACATATAGAACGAATGAAATGAAAGACTGGGGAGAAAGAGGCTTTAACAATATCAGAACATAGCTAATTGGAGCACAAATAAATAATCATTCGGTTTTGTTTTTAGAGAGGCTTTTGATGAAAATATGTCTCTCGAAATCTCTGGGCTGTTGTTACTCATAAGATTTTGCTTCATCTAAACCCTGCATTATGGCGTATCCAAGAAAAGTAGTTAAAACATCAATCTGTTGGAGACATTGAGAGGTTTTTTGGTATAACCGGCAAAGACCAATTTGGTTTCGTTCTCATGTAATGAATAATATGCTTTTGGATAATGTAATATGTTTATTTGTCTGCTGAAACGGAGGTATCCTTCAAAGACTGTGTCGGTAGAGTCAAAGAATCCTTCCTCCTCAAAGACTGAAACTTTAGTTTTATGAAGAGTAAACGTTTATTCGATTACAAGAACTATGGCAATGTCATTCCTTACCACATTTAAAATCCTTCACCTATTTATTGGAAACCCGATATATGCTGAAGATATGACTTCAGAGTCAAACAAAGAACATTTTCCACGTATAAATTTAAGGCAAACGACCTAGGAAATAATAGGTATCACAAAAAATTGCTACACCTTAGGTGTCCCAAACTGTCACTAAGCAAGATGAAATCACACCAAGACAAACGATAGTTACACGAAAAAAAGCACGAAAAAAGTATGCAGTTTTATATATACAACCAACAACCTGGCCACGAAACATCGATCCTTGTGAAGTTGTAAGTTTTTTCTTGAGCATAACAAATTCACAGTCTTGTCTATAAAATAGTTTTACGTCTTCGTAAAACTGAAAAAAAAATCAGGTCAGATAGTCTCGAGCTTTGGACACAGTGTGCACGGCATCTGTGTCATAAAGTGCTTTGTGTAACACAGGTGCTGCAACGGTTTACGAGAGACGCCAGCCATTCTAAGGGATCGATATAACATTTCAAACGACAATGCAGGCCTAAGAAACGAAAACAAAAACAATTACATCACAAAACAAATGAAACGAACAAACAAAACTTGAGTTTGCGGCAAAACAAAGACAAAAACAAATAAAACAAACAAACAAACAAAATGCTTGAGTTCTCAGCTTTTGCTAAAAGTAAAACGAAGGATAGTGGGGATCAAGTGGTACGATCGAGTCACTAATGCTCAACTGTAGGAAAGAACAAGCCAAAGGCCAAAATAGGAAGACATACAGGTGAAGAAATGGAAATGGATTGGACACACCCTGAGGAGACCCCCGACAAGCATCACCAGGCAGGGTTTAACGTGGAACCCACAAGGAAAACGTAAGAAGGGAAGACCAAAGATGACATGGAGGCGAGCGGTACAAGCGAAAATTGAAAAAAGGGGGGACATCATGGAAACAAATAGAAAAGGATGCTCAAGACAGGCTTCGCTTGAGTAATGCTGTTGATGGCCTGTGCTCCATTGGGAGTTAAAACGGGCAAGAGAGAGAGAGAGAAAACGATAGCAGCAGTTGTCGATGCCATCTTCTACTTCTATCATATTATCAAGTGTGGACACTTCTAGTAAGCAAGATGAAAAATATTACAGTGACAGAACACCAGGCAAAGAGAAAGATAGCACAGGAGACGTTATTTATCCATCTCGCTATCCGTTTGTAGGACCAGCCGTGGCAATGCTTAGGGGAATCGTTATCATCTGGAATTGCGTCCCTGTCTGTTGGTAGCTTTAGTGCAGGATAGACACTTTTCTTTTGCTTCTCGGATGACACTGTCGATTTGGCAGACCCGCTCTGGAACGATCCCACAGGCCTCACTGTTTCTTCTTGAGTACTGACGGCCTTCCTCTGTGAAAAGGATAATGATAATAATAATAGCAACCATAATAATGATAAAAAATAAAATGAATAATAATAGCAATAATAATAATGATGATAAACTGTAAAAACTAACACTTCCTACCCCCCCCCCCCCCCCGCCTTGTGTCATTTCCGTATTAGAATGACATTGTCCAAGAGAACCACCTGTCTAAGATGACCACCTGTCTCTTCAATAATGGGCTGTCGTTTTTATAAAGGTTCGACAAAACAGAAATTAGAAGTGAAAATGACCATTATACTTCGTTGCATTTTTCTCTTTAGCTCTGTGTCCTACCTTTTATCCAGACCATTGCCTCGGTATGTTTAACGAAAATGTCATGGAGAAATAGAGAACGTATTCCATCTGTTCTATTATATGAGCGACTGAAATGGAACATTTGGGAACTTTACAATTCTACACAGACGGATTGAGCTCAATTTTATCTAGTATCTCGATATGTGAGGCGAGCTGACAAAACGAGTTACTTCTCGACATCCACAAATGGAGACATTGCCCAAAAATTGACACAAGGGTCAAATTTTTAAGATTTTTTATCGATGCCATATTCGTTAAGTATTACATACCTTTTATTTTAAGCTTATAAATTGTAACAACTTCATCCATACCATATGTGTGATGTATGTATTCATTTAACGGCCTGAATCCGAGAAGTAACTCATTTTGTCAGCACGAGTCACATATATCATATTGGACCTTGCCTCCCCCTCAGCCCGTGTTGGCCCTGACAGGCAGGGTCGAAGCAACTCCCCTCCTTATTGACCTAAATAGTGTCGATATGGACGTAACACTTCACTATTACAGACAAATATAACATAGCATTAGAATGCATTGGTATTGCCTATTGTCATTTCGAAGGAATGCTCAATCTACAAGGCAATAAAAGAGGAACGGCAAACAAATACTCAGTTGAGAGGAAACAACAACAAAAAAACCCCAACTAAGAGCGCTCATATGACCTTATGCAATTGCAAGCGCCGTAAAACCCTCTACTATAAAAAACAACAACAACAAAGCAAAACAAACAGAGCAATAATGTTACTTTTTAATTTTAAAAAACATAAAAACTACACACAACTCGACAGTCTGGTACACAGAAAGAAAAACCAAGTTAACAATAAAAAGGTACAGTGACATGTACATGTAACAAACACTTCCCGTTATGCAAACTTACCTCTTCTTTATAGTGGAAGAAGGAGACAATGACAGTGACGACGACGGTGAGGAGAGAGATGACGAGGAGGATGGAGACGTAGATGAGAAGGAGAGCCATGTCTGTGGCAGACCGAGGCAGCATTGTGCTAGTGATGCTTAGACACAACGTCAGGGCCAGGAGCACGGTGATGCCTGGGGGGAACACAACGTGAATGATAGCCTACAGGGGGAGTCAATTAGTATGACATTATTTTACGAAGTGGCTAGCCGTACTTAGATCTAGGTTTGGCCCTATCGACTCAAACCTGTTAAGTACACAGGTCGCATTAGATCTAGGTCTAGTGATTATTCAGGTTCAAATACATGCAAGTCAGTAAGGCACCTTTTGGTTTTGTCTCAAATACAAATACTTTAGGCATTGTAAACTAAAAATTGTATTTAGAATTCAGCCATCAATAGTAAGTACGGCTAGCATGACAGTCTAGCCATACTTATCTTAGGTCCTATTAACATTAGAAAACAGGAGGTTTAAAATACATGCACTGTCATTAAGGCACCTGGTTTCGTCTCAAATACAAATACTTTAGGTACTGCAAAAAAAAATAAAATATATTTACATTTCAGTAGGCCTATTTTTTGTATGGTCAGTCTAGCCATCATATTAAGAATAAGTACGGCTAGCCCAGCTGTCCAGCAGTACTTAGCCAACCAGTCTAACTTACAGCTAGCCAACCAGTCTAGTCGTCATTAAGTACGGCTAGCCTCTTCCATTATTTTATTGACCCTTTCCTTCAGTTCTCAAGCATCATTATGGAATAAACCAATGACTATTTCAAAATGAAGTTATCTAAATTTTGAATTTTAAAAAATGAATAGATTTTATGAGGCAATGCTTCAATTCTCAAGCACCGAAATGGATTGAGCCAGTAACCATTTGAAAGAAAAGTTGTCTAAATTTTGTTTAGAAAAGAGTGAATAGATTTCATGACCTATTCATTCAGTTCTCAAGCATCGTTATAGAATGGTCATGTGACCATTTGAAAGAGGAGTTATCTAACTTTTGAATGAAAAAGAATAAATCGATTTTTGACGCAATGCTTCAGTTCTCAAGCACCATAGAATGATCCAATAACCATATCTGAAAGAGAAGTTACCTAAATTTGAATAGAAAAGAGTGACTTAATTTTATGACAAATTCCTTCAGTTCTCAAGCAACGCTATGGATCGAGCCAGTGACCATTTAAACTAAACGAGTAGTTATCTAACTTTTGAACAGCTGTGCTCCAGTGATTGATTGGATGTTAAGGAGTCCACGCCCTTGCTCTCCGTGCTTGGCCTGCCGATGCCTAGACCTCAACGTGTGATTTTTGTTTTAATGTGAAGATCTTATATTCATTATGAAAAAAGATAGCGTTTATGTTCCACGCTACCCACTTTCGACGATCTTGGAGATCTAAAAACAATGCAATCAACTCAGTGGGCGGTGATGCAGAAACGCGTCCGGGATGAATTATCTAATAATTGCTACGCAAAAATGGAAATGCTATCTGCCTCGCACTACTGTGTAACCATACTTAACAGTCAAAAGTGCTTACCAAAACTAAGTTTTTCTCCTGAATCATGTGGTATGAGAAAGACCATGATGTTGAGAAGGGAAAGGACCATGATGGGTAGTATAGTGTTCATGAACAGGAACATTGGCCGTCTACGGAGCTTGAGCACGATCTGTAGGCGTTTGTTGGAACAAAGAGAAGTACTTCGTTGCAATAATGGCCATTTAGTGCAAGGGAAAAATGAGACAGACAGGCAGAAACAACAGAGGGAAAGATACGTAATTTGTTTGTTTGGGTAAAGAGGAGAACATCAACACAATAATGGCCATTTAGTGCTGGGGAAAAATGAGACAGTCAGGCAGAAACAACAGAGGGAAAGAAAAGTACGTAATTTGTTTGTTTGGGTAAAGAGGAGAACATCAACACAATAGTGGTCCTTCAGTGTTGGGGAAAAATAGGACAGAAACAAGAGACGGAAAGAAAAGTACGTAATTTGTTTGTGTGAACGGGAGAGAATGACATTGATACAATAATGGCCATTTAGTGCTGAGAAAATAAGACAGACAGACTGAAACAAGAGAGGGAAAGAGAGGTAATTTGTTAGTTTGAACAAAGAGATGTACATTGATGGTCATTTAGTGCAGGTGAAAATAAGGACAGAAACAAGAGAGGGAAAGAAAGGTATTATATTTGTTTGAGTAAAGAGAAGCACGTCAACACAATAATGGCCATTTAGCGCAGGTGAAAAAAAGACAGGCAGGCAGAGAGAAACAACAGAGGAACAGGAAAAAAGCAGGATCTATCAGTAGCCCTCTCCGACCATCTACAATCTGTAGACGACAGGTATATAACGCAAAATAATTCGAAAACTAAAAGTAATTATGAAACCTGCTCCTATTCCAAAAACGTGCCTATTATTCTCGTATTGAGACAGAATCTACAGCGGATTATGTACCAGGCTATGGGAAGGAAAGATCTTGTCAGTTGGTTAGGCTTTGAATTCGTGCAATCAGCAGCTTGTATATACTATATACAAATTTATATTAATATTAATATAATATTATATATATATATATATATATATATATATATATATATATATATATATATATATAAATAGATATATATGTATTTTATATAATATACACTCGTATATGTATTTGTTCATATATTATTATTGTTTTCATTATCATTATTATCATTATTGATTTTAGAAAAAAATTCATTATTTTCATTATCAATCTTTTTAAAACACATCATTATCATTATCATTTTCATAATCATTTTTATTGTTTTTACTATTCCTCCTCGTCTTCTTCTTCTTCTTCTCCTTCTTTCTTCTTCTTTTTCTTCTTCTTCTTCTTCTTCTTCTTCTTCTTCTTCTTCTTCTTCTTCTTCTTCTTCTTCTTCTTCTTCTTCTTCTTCTTCTTCTTCTTCTTCTTCTTCTTCTTCTTCTTCTTCTTCTTCTTCTTCTTCTTCTTCTTCTTCTTCTTCTTCTTCTTCTTCTTCTTCTTCTTCTTCTTCTTCTTCTTCTTCTTCTTCTTCTTCTTCTTCTTCTTCTTCTTCTTCTTCTTCTTCTTCTTCTTCTTCTTCTTCCCTCCCATGAACTCATAGCTCCTCACTCCAATGGGTGCCAAGCCCTCTTGAGGAATTTGGCTCCCATCAACGTTGATCGTTGCCTCGCGGATTTCCCATTCCCCATGTGGCGTCAGAGAATCCGTGCGCACCGTCGTTTGGTTGGACACGAAAACGACCTCTTTTTGGGGATGAGACATGCTGAAGAACTGGAAATAGACACACACAAAAGAACGACAAATGAAGGTACCGCAGGTGGGTGGGTATTTGGGGCTCACAGGGGGAGTGGGGAGGGAGGGGATGAGTGCATAGTCAGAGTCATGAAAAGATCAAATTTAACAACAAGATTTGGTTTTCAAAAACAATTTAAAAAAATAAATAAATGCTATTGAACAATTCAAACTTAGCGACGGTTGCTCTGTGAGAACAGCTGTTATTTTAAACATTATAACATTATTGTAAAGATGACGATTTTAGAATTGTTTTGACAAAAAGCTTACTTACTTTTATTTTACTTTAAAAAAGCGAAATCAAAAGACCAAATAAAGATTTCAGGTTTATGTGCAATGCTCTTACTAGCTCATGTCTGACTGAAGGTGAAGAACATTGACTCTAACGGTTACCTCCCACCCCTCCCCCCTCCACCTCACCCCTCAAAAACGAAAGAAAAAAGTAAGAGAAAAACAAACAAAAAGTAAGGGAAAAAGAAAAGAAAAAACGAAATGATGGTCAGAAACAAAACTGTGCCTGTAATGCTCCCTCACCACCACCTGCTCTCCCCCCCCCCCCTTCCACTACCCCCTTCCTCCATCTTATTTGATAGAAACTTGTAAGCGCATTTTTGAAACGGCAAAGGCCGAGGCGTTATCCAAACTATCTAGTATACTCACATAATACTAGTGACTTTTTGGTGGGTGCTCTGATGCAGTTTGTTCCTTTTTTCCTATCAAAAGTCTATCGTACTTATCTCTAACTCTTCTTTTCTTTTAATACCTGGGATCATCGAGACTTGTATGATCTATTATGTTATAATATTTGCCGAAAAAACTCTCATCCCAACTAAACTAAAACAATATACAGTTACCACATACAAGAAGTGAGCACATCTGTTCATCGAAAGGGAAGTTAGTGACGTCCATAACACAGTTCACGGTGAAGAGTGCACCAGGAATCCATGAAGCGTATCCTGACTGGTAGACTTGTAAAGGCCTGAGGATTGCCACATTAAGGGTGCTACAGTCTAGCATGGCATATTATTGCTTTGGTGTGGTACCGCGGTATGGCATTGTGGTATTCTTTTGCAGAGCATTGTGCTATGGTGTGCTATTGTTTGGCAGAGCATTGTGCTATGGTGTGATATTGTGCTATTGTTTGGCAGAGCATTGTGCTAAGGTGTGGTATTGTGCTATTGTTTATCAGAACATTGTGCTATGGTATGATATTGTGCTAGGACATGGGTGATTTGGTCTGGCAGAGCATTGTGCTGTGGTATGGTAGTGTACTATGGTATTGCACTGTGTTATGATATAGTAGTGTACTGTGGTAATATTGCAATGTGTTATGGTATGACATCACATTATGCTATGGTATGTTATTGTACTAAGGTATTGTATTTTGCTGTGGTATGGCGTTATACAATGGTACGGCATTGTGCTGTTGTATTTCATTGTGCTATGATATTGCTTTGTGCTGTGGTACGCATGAAATTATGCTATGGTAAGGCATTGTGCTATTGTATGGTATTATGCGACACAATTTTGTTCATTACATTATGCTATGGTAAGGCAAGGTATTGTGCCATGATTATATGGCATTGTAATGCGTTGTGCTATGATATTGCATGGTGCAAGAGTAGTTGCATGCTGAAGACGTGTGTTCAATTCCTTTGTTCGGGGAACTTTTATCGAGGAGACTGCGATATTCTGCTGGGACTTTGTATCCCTTTGAGTTCGACACTGTTTGGGACTGAGGAAAAGACAAAATAGGACCACATAATACAAAAATAAGTCTTTGATAATTTCGGACCAAAAACCCTTAATAATTGTAGATTATGTTTGCATGATGTATTTCAATACAGGGAATAATCATTTCATTTTATTTCGAAGATCGTGCGAACACATGTACCTATTAATCAACAAAATAACAACATAAAACACATATCTCTTACTCTCTCACCCCTCTCTATATCTATCTATCTATCTATCTATCTATCTATCTATTTATCTATGTATCTATCTATCT